GCTAATAGCAAACGTCTGCACGATAGCAGTATCAAACGCAAAATGATTTTATTTGGCTTGTGCGTACACCGTTTACAACCAAAACTTACGTTTGTATCCATATGAATACAAGGAATGTTTAAAAAATCTGCAAGCCTATTACAGATGTTAAATTAATAAATTAATAATGCAAAATGTTAGAACGAACGCTTTTCTACATATTTGACATGTTTAAAAGTATATATGTGGTCACATATATATGTAATTTTTATAAAACAAAACCTCTTTTTCACCAAAAATTAAAAAAATATATACCCGTTTTTTTTTAATGCTGTATTTTTCTCAGTTAAACGAAAATAATATATATTTCCATTGTAGGTGTTTCCTAAGACTTTAAAAAATTATAATCAGTTGAAAACTAAGTTGTTTTTCTGGCGTGGAGATTGTCAGCCGACCACAAAGTTGAGTGTATCCATATGGATACTATATAGTGAAAGGGTTAAACAATCGACTAAAAAATGACGTTATCAACTATTATTTTTTCTCAAATGCAATTAAAAATACATGGTTGTCGTGCTGGGTGATCTGTTTAGTTGGTTCATGGCATTATTTCTAAAAACGCCATTTTTTATTTTAAGCGTGGAAATACCAGAAATTACATTGCCGTCTTAAGAGCGTGTCAGCCGTGGCAATGCAATATATTTCAAAAGACTGTCGAATTGAGAAATTTCAGAAAGCAGTTGCATGAGCAGTGGAACCTTGCATGTAAGTGTCTATATGTCGAAAGAAATTTTTTTATTTCCGAAAGGCGAATTGCAGGGAAAATTTCTGAAATCGCTTTTAGACTTTTTACACGGCGAATGAATTTCTAGCAATATTTCTCGATACTAAAATGTAACCGTGAGCCGGTAAAATAAACAAATTTATAAAAGCAATATAACGAAAAATAAATGAATTGAAAAACATGAAATGGGTCGATACTATCGATAGTATCGATAGTCACCCTTAAGACTATCGTAAAACATCGATGGACTTGAGTATCGATAGTTTGACAGCTCTAGTGCACTTCTAAAGGCCAGGCACATCCATTTGATACCTCATTTTTGAAAATCATGTGAAGGATGTAAATATTATAATTTTGTAGACAGGCGGTAACTCTGTTCAAAAAATAAATCCTTATTGTACGTCTTCAGGCCAAGCCCTTTCATTTGACAATTTTTCTTTTATCAAACGAACCGTGCAGATTTTATAATGTTTAAAATGATGGCAATCCTATTCAAAAAATAAAGCCTTGCCGCACATCTTGAGCGCAAGCCATTTCATCTGACACCTCATTTTTGAAAATCGTGAGAACGGTGGAAATATCAGAATTTTACACGCTGGTGGCAACCCTATTAAAAAATATATCGTTACTGCACATCCAGAGGTCAAGCCTTTTCATTTGACACCTCATATTTGAAAATCGGGAGAGCGGTGCGAATCTTATGCAATTAACAAAATTACCTTCGCACAGAATAGTATACTCTAACCACACCAACTTTCCACATTCACTTATGAACAGTGTTGCCAGAACTTTTTGGACGAACCGGCTAAATTGGCAAATAAAACCGGCTAAAAACGGCTAAAATGTTTCAACTAAATTTCAAATGTTTTATTTAAATAAATCACGAGTAAAAAGACCATTTCCTGGAGAGAAGTGACAAATTCGAGCCGGACAAAATTTTGCCAGCAAGAATTTGTGGTTATCGCTGGATTTTCGACGAAGAAACCTATTGTCTTCCCTACAAGGCCTTTTTAGACTGACCGATTCTCAATACACTCAAACAGAAACCAATACACATAAAAAACGCTGTAAAAATTTCCCTTCAATTTTAAGGCAGTAAAACAACGACCTTAAGTTAACATCAACCGAGGCCATTTGTTGACAAGGGATGCAAAATTACAGTTACACAGAAGAACTGGTCAGATTTTTCAGAAATCCCTGCAATTCTGATGTAAAATATGATGCCAAAAGACTGCAGATCTCCCATTTAGATGACCGGTCATATGACCGGCAGATGTTTTGTAGGATTCCCAGAGAGTTTTGCTTTACATAGAAATTTGTGCTCTTTTATTTTCATTTTGACTCACTTCAGTGTTGGTTTCTTTAATTCAAGTTGGCATTCGGTTTTTGGAAATTAAATAAGTTCTCAGCAAAAAAGTTTGTTTAAAAAAATACATATGTGTTCATAGTGCTTGAAAATATCAATTTTTCCCTTACCTTAAACCTTTGGGAGTGGGCAAAAATGATGTTTTGTAATCTAGGCAGAATTGAATATGCGCTATCTGGGAAGACAATATCTACATGTAATATTTACTCTTTTCGTTGGCACTATATCCAAACACAAACGCATCTTAAGTGTCTGAACAGTGAAACAATTTCTTATTTTCTAAGTTTGCGAATAAAACTTCACACTTAAAATTAAGACATTTATAACAAACATTTTATGAAGAAAATCCCTTCTTCGTTTAAAATAAAAATAAGCGAAATCGGACCAATTTCATACAACCCTGCCTGACATGAAAATTTTCTCCACGATAAGGCGAGTAGCCATTTCTAACAGATTTTGGGTCGCTTAGTCAAAAATGGAAACATATATACATATTTTAAGTTTAAGAAAACAAAGCAAATAGCAAAATCGGCTAAAAACGGCTAATTTTTTTCTGCAAAACGGCTAACAAATCGGCTGCCGGCTAAATCGAAATTTCTCCGGCTGTTTGCTATCGCAACCGGCTAAATCTAGCCGGAACATGACTACAATGGCAATACTTATGAAGCTACAGCTTATGAAGGAGAACGACAGCAGTGAATCTTCGCGAAGGCATCGCTGCCACTTATAGCTACATAAATATATGAACGCACGCTGTTTGATCCACCAATACATACGCGTATGAACAACAGCGGAAATTTTTTCTACCTAGCATTCGCGAACGCGAACAATCTGGATGGGTTTTATGCTTCTCGTTCGCGAAGGAGAATCAATACAGAATAGTTGCGTTCCCCAACTTTTCTGGGTTAAAACCTGTAAAACTGTCAAAAAGCAAAAGATGCCAGAGTACCGAGTACGGGAACGCTTTCTGGTAAATTCCTCTAAATTCTTGCACTTCTTGCGAAATAGGGAACGCAACTAATATTTGATACGTTCACCTTCGCATATAAAATCATAAATGTATGTTCGCGAACTTTCATATATGAATATTTCCGAACCCTGGTTATTGTCCCGTCGAAATGCTTGAATGAACGAATGCACGGGGAGGGAAACGGTATATGACTTATGGTATTAGCTTTTCAATGCTTCCTCCTCTTAAAAAAAAAAAAACATGTGCAGTAAAAAGTCAATTATTTAAATCGACGAATAATTTTATATCAACGTTTGTGAACTTCTATTGTGTATGTACAAGAAACATATCCTGGTTACAATAATTCTAAGCTAAAATAAACAAGTAAGAAAGTCTAAGTTCGGGCGGAGCCGAACATTAAATACCCGGCGCAAGTATTAAATATATGTTTTCCACCTTTCCGAAAGCTACCGCTACATGATAAGCCGGGGTGTATACATTTTAAGTAAATTAGCGTCCTTAAATTTCGAAATATTGAAATTTCAAGCATATCTGAAATTTACCGTTATATGAAAAGCGGCCTCAATTTTAGTCCGATTTCAACAATTTTCAACGGTTTGCTTTTATGTGGCAAGCCCAATAACCATACCGAGCTTGGTACAAATTGCTAGAACGGTTAGCGAGATGCATATATGTGATCACAAGTGGGCGGTGCTACGCCCATTTTCCAAAATTTTGTCATAAACGTATTTCTTGGTAAAGAATTGTTGCAATCATCAATTTTGAATAAATTAGCTTCAATATTTACTGATTTATCGAAGATTTTGTATTTCTCGAAATTACCGTTATATGGGATGTGGGCGTGGTTATTGTCCGATTTCAGAAATTTTCGGCCATTTGGTATGCTGTACCAGGACCAACAACTGTGCCAAGTTTGGAAGAAATTGGTGTCGCGGTTACCAAGATATACACATGTAACCATAAGTGGGCGTGGCTACGCCAAAATTTTGTAATGTTCTTATTTTTCGTCTAAAACTCATTGCAAATATCAATTTTTAGTGAATTATCTTCAGTAGTTACTAAAATATCGCAGTTTTTGTTTTTCTGAAAATTTCCGTTATATGGGAGGTAGGCGTGGTTATTGTCCGCTTTTTAAAATTTTCAGCCATTTAGTATGCTGTATTAAGGCCAACAACTGTGCCAAGTTTGGAAGAAATTGGTGCTGCGGTTACCAAGATATACACATGTAACCATAAGTAGGCGTGGCTACGCCCATTTTCCAAAAATTTATAATATTCATGTTTTCCGTCTCAAACTCATTGTAAGTATGAATTTTGAGTGAATTATCTTCAGTAGTTACTAAAATATCGCAGTTTTCGTATTTCTTAAAATTACCGTTATATGGGAGGTAGGCGTGGTTATTATCCGATTTCGCCCATTTTCAATACCGTCCGTCCCACGCCCAAAAGAAGTTCACGTACCAAGTTTCGTTAAGATATCTCAATTTTTACTCGAGTTATCGTGTGCACAGACGGACGGACGGACGGACGGACGGACAGACAGTCACCGTTTAATCGATTTCTCTTTTCATTCTGATCATTTATGTATACATTTGTCTATATCTATCTCGATTCGTTTTGCCTGTTACAAACAACCGTTATGTGAACAAAGTTATAATACCCTTGTGCACAAGTGCGCTCGGGTATAAAAATTATATTCGTTTTGAAATAAAATTTGTTTGTATGGGAGCCCCCCGCCTGCTCCCCCTGAATTTCGTTCTGGCTATGCCCACGGGTACGTACTTAATCAACTTTATCATGGCAATTTTCCCAATATTGAATTAAAATCGGTACTTTAAAATAATTTGGACCCTAATTATTGTTAACTTATTTATTATTTATTAACTTATGTATTGCACGAAAATGAGCTTACAATCACCTTATTTATTCTCCTACTGTTTTAGAGGCTGGCGGAATGAAGACTTGAATGATTTAAATCAATATGGCTGCCGGTTGAATTTTTATAACTGGTCTTCACATACCTTATATCAAACTATTGATTTGGGTCCCGATGGTATAACTCCACTTGAAGTTCGTTTTATGCATGATCCAAAACGTCCGGATGGATTTGTGGGTGCCTGCTTGTATGCAAATATATTTTATTTTAAAAAGATGTTTGATTCTGACGAATTTGTCGCAAAAAAAGCAATCGATATACCACCGAAACTTATCTCAATTAATGGTGAGGACGCACATCTTTTACATGGTATGGTTTCCGACATAATTCTATCATTGGACGATAAATTTCTGTATTTGAGTTGCTGGTTGCATGGTGACGTGCGTCAATACGATGTTACTGACCCAGAAAATCCTAAACTTAAGGGTCAGCTGTTTTTAGGAGGATCTGTTTGCAGTGATTTGCACAACGTGGAAGTAATTGAGGATAAAGAACTGGAGGTTTGTACTACATAAGTTGAAAAATTTTAGTATTAAGCATAAACCAGTTTCTGCAAGCGTACGTAAACTACCGATCAATAGCAAGACGCGTAGAGTATTTACTTTGCCTTCCGCAACTACTGCGAGTAAAAGGTATTTGACAGTAGAGTACTCTACTGGTAGCACTTGAGTATTTTCGAAGAAAACATACATTTGTGGCAAGAATGATAGAAGAATTTTCTGGATCGTGCATTTGTGGTATCTGAATAAAACTAAGGACAGGATTGTAGTGGAGCGATGAAGAGCGCGACGAGCAAAACGTACTTTCAACTAAAATGCTGATATACATACCTAAGTACATATGTATGTATGTGCATAGATACGTATGTGTGTGCATAGATACGTATGTACATAGATACGTATGTGCATAGATACATATATAAGTGTCCTCATATATTTTTTCTCGTCACTTGTTCTGTCGCTTCACTGCAGCAAAACCAAGTTGTTGGGAAAACCCTGACGATATGCGTACAATTGAAACCATGGGTTTGAAGATAGCGCAAATTGATGTGAAAATTTCAATTTCATATTAAATATATTTATGTATGCACGTACATATGTACATATGTAAAAATGTAGTTTCGATTTAAAAAAATCGGATAGTATTTCTTTCGCCAATCATACACCTCTCATTTTAGTATTTATTAAAAAGAACTCAATGAAATTCAAAAAATCTATTTACTCAATACCAATTTTACTCAATACCAATTTGAGCTGTCGCAGTGTTATCAAAAAAAAAGTTATCAATGGGTAGGTTCAGAAAAAAATCAGTGATCGTTATGCGTCTTCTGAACGACTTTATACATTAGCTGTCAAATTCAACTCTCAAAGGTACACACCAACATGTTGTGTCAAATGATCAGAAAAATATTACGATCATCTAACACGCAACTATTCAGTTGATCAGAAGTACGCAACAACGCGTTCAGAAGGTGCAATCGCACCAGTTACTGAGCTGTTGCGCCTTCTGAACGTGCCAAATGAAAATTCGTTTCTCTAGAAATCAAGTTATATGGCTGCGTATGTATGTACATATGTACATATTCCGAAATTTTTTTTATTTGTAAAGGCTCTCAAGAAAAACTAGAAATTCATATAAAATTACGCAAAATAAATGGAAAATAAATTTGCTTCTATAAAAAATTTTTAAATCAGTATGCAGCTCTTAAGAAAAAAATGCTCGTACATCTCGTCGAATGTGAAAATCGGCACTTTTCAAAATTTTGATTTGCCACTAATAATTTTATTTCGTATAGCAGCATTGCTTAAGTTATCGTTTTTGACAACTTATTTGATGGTTAATGACTGCAAATAGTTTTATAGAAAATTAGAAACGAGAAATAATACTTTCATAAAAATTTAAGTACATACATAGATTTAAAAAGCTGCTTGAATACAAAAGTTTTATGAAAATGTCACATTAAACATATGTCTAAATCTACGTTATTTTTTTATAAATAAGGTCGTAAACATTTCCTTACATCGTCAATTTCCATATTCTATTTTTACTCTTTTAATTTCACTGACCAGCGCCGCAAACGATATCAACTAGTAGGCTAACAACCAGAACTGAAATTTAATACGCAAGTACTTACCGTAGTACAAGTATACAGAGAGTAGATTTGCTACTCCCTTTTGGCAGCAGCAAATATCTCTCGTACGCGATGAGAGAAAGTAGAGTACTTACTTTGGTGGAGTAATAGCAAGTACGTCAAGTATTTACTCTCTCAACGCCAAATAGGGTATGTATGCGGAAAAAGAGTAACAATGTGTTGGGAGTAGAGTACAATGCAAGGAGTACTTAGGTCGGTGTTATGCAGACAAACTTTTGTTTGCCAAATTAAATGGCGGCTGCTTAGTTTGCTCGGAGGTGGTTATGCCGAGTTTGGCACAGGGTTGCACGTTCATTATGGTTTTCATGGCTATTGCCAGCACGAAATGAGAATTTCAGATGTACATAATGCGCACAAGTAATATATTTTTTATGATATCGTATAGGCAATTAACTGTGCTCTAATCTTTGAAGCTCCTACAGCATAAATTAAGTTCTCTGGCTTTCGGTATCACGGCAATTTTATGTGTATAGCAACAATTGTCTAAAATTTTTGTATATGACAACACCGAATTTGCTGCAGTTTGACCAAACAAAATTAGTTTGCTGTGAGAGTCGCCAAACTCGCTCTCTCCGAGTTTGCTGCAACAACAATTGCACGCAGTTTGCCAAACAAAATTTCTGCATAACACCGACCTTATTGAACGAAATGCGGCAAATACACTTGCGCTGGACTCTAATATATATACACGACGTCCAATCACATGGTTGAGGTATCGTTGGAAAGGTCTTGCAGAGTGTGTGCAGAAAACGTATTCAAATTTCCCAAATCATTATCTGAATTCATAAAAATTAGGCTAAACTTTTGTGAAACAAAAAAGTTTTTTTGCTTTTGCCGGTTTAAGGGGGTATGTGGGTATGCCAATTATATTTAGTGTTAGATTATAGGCCAATACCTTTTTAACGATACCTTATATATTGAGTTCCGGCTACTAGATGGAAAGATATAGAGCTAAATTGATTTGCGTTCGTGTCTCCACTATAAGATGCTTTACGATGTGTAGATTTAGATAATATGTTTAGCAATTTATTTGAGAAAAATAAAACATCTAGATTATTGTTATGAATTTTCGTCGATTTTAAATTTGCTACCCCAAAATAATTGATATCAAATAAAACACCTCTTTGAGGTAAAATTTTCGAGTGACGAAAGCTGAACTAGAAACACAACATTTATGATATCAATTTCGTGACGAAAATTATTCGCATTGTTTAACTGCCTTTGAAACGTACGGAAAATCCCTTTTTTATTTATTCGGAAGGTTGCGAAATTCCGTTTACTGCTAGAAACACAAAATAAAAAACAGAACTTTTGCAACGATTCGTATGAATAAAAAAGATTTTCCGTACGTTTCCAAGGCAGTTAAAAAATGGGTATAATTTTCGTCACGAAATTGATATCATAAATTTTGTGTTTCTAGTTCAGCTTTCGTCACTCGAAAATTTTACCTCAAAGAGGTGTTTTATTTGATTTGAAATTACTTGAATGATGAATGAAAATTTATTCATCATTCGAAAGTGCTTGAATGAAGAATAAAAATTTATTTGTTATTTGAAATTCTTGAATGATGAATAAAAATGTATTTATCATTCGAAAGTGCTTGAATTAAGAATAAAAATTTATTCTTATTTGAAATTACTTGATTGATGAATGGAAATTTAATACCATTCAGATGGTGATTGGTAACCCTACCGAGTGGTCGTGAAATTTCACATAGTGCAACAATGTGATAAATCAATCCAAAAAAACAGTAAAAGACAAGAAAATAATACAGTGAATATTTAACAACAATTGACACTAAAGACTGCTTTAAAACTTCTGAGGGAAAGTGGAGCTTGATGTTTAAAATTAAAAAATTGTACCTGCGCGAGTGATAAATTCTCAAGTAAGACTCCGCCGAGTTGAAAAGAAACAAACGAAAGTGCTAGCAACAAAACAGTAGTGGATGTACAGGCAGCCTAAAAGTATGCTTTGTTCTGGGCACTTCTAAGTATTGACACTACTTCAGGGTTGCCATAGTATATTTATACTTAAAAAAAATAAAAGATAAAAATACCCCAAAAACACCCAGTTTCAAAATTCCCTTAAATCGTACCCCTCCCAAAGGGGGAGGGCAGGAATCGTCTCAGCCACAACAACAACAGCATAGACAACAAAGGTCACAACAGAACCAAGAATCCCAACTTCCTCTGCAGCCCGAAACACCGCAAAAATCAGAGACACAACAGGAAAAGCAACAACAACATCCGGAAAGGAAAGAACAGAAACGGCAACAACAACTGACGATCTCAAGACAGTCAACAAATTCGTGGAAAATCCAAATATCCAGGATCAAATTGAGCTACTTCAAAAGCAATTACAATTACTCTACCAAAAGCAAGCCTCAAATGATAAACCTACCCCAGGTAAGGAATGGACCACAGTATAACCCAAAAAGAGGCCACGAGAAAGCCCAGGTAAGCCATCAAATACCAAAAAACAAGCAAAACTTGATAAATACTGGCTAGGCGAATCCCAGACTAAAAAAAATAGATTGTCATCTCTTGAAATAGAAAACGATGAAGACCCAAGGCCCAAAGAAAATAATCCCAAGCCCCCACCAATCTTCGTTGATGAAGTAAGCAAGATTACCCCCCTAACGAAGCTTTTATCCGAAATTGCTCCAATTCTGTATGACCTAAGGCTCATAGGCAATGAGCAAGTTAAAATACAAGCAAAAACTCCCGAGGCCTACAAAACAATTGTTCAGCAACTAGAGCAAAAAAACACTGAGTTTTATACATACAAGCCAAAACAAGAAATAAATTTCAAAGTTATACTCAGAAATATGCACTCGTCTATTGGCATCGAAGAAATCGCTGAAGCCCTACAAAATCTCGGTCATATCCCTATTAGCATTTACAATATGAAACACAGAAACACGAAAAAACCGCTACCAAAGTTCATTGTAGAGCTAAAAGCAAACCCTACTAACAAGGAAATATACGATATCAAATATCTCTTCAACACAAAAATTGTATTTGAACCCCCACGCCCAAAACGCGAAATCCCGCAATGCGCTAACTGTCAACAGTATGGACACACAAAAGCATACTGCCGTAGAAATTTACTTTCTTACTCCCAAATGTTGAAAAGCACACAAGATTCGAGTCATAGTAACTCAATCCCTCAATCAAAAGAAAACGCCTCTGATGTCTCAAGCGAAATGCGAGAAATGATAATGCTTCTCAAGCAAGTTATGCAACAAATCACAACTATGATGAATCTTCTCGTCACCCTTACGACGAAGTCCGGCATCCCTACAATCCCATGAATATTCTCCTGTGGAATGCTAATGGCCTATCAAAACACGTACTCGAGGTTAAAACGCTAAAAAAA